ATAATACGAACTGAATTCATTTAAGTGAAAAAAAAAAAGTAATTTTATTCCATTGAAATGATAGAAATGATACAATGAAATTTCATAGTTACTGTCAAAAACCACTGAGATTTTTTTTTTTTTTTGATTATTTATTGCTTAACTCTCTTAAATTTACAATTAATTTAAATTAAGTGATTATAGGAGCAAATTTAGAATATAATTTGAATGGATAACATTAATGGAATTGAATTTAATAAAGAACAAACTATTCCACTTAAAATTTAAAGAAAAATTTTTTAAAAAAATTAAAAATTGAAAATTTTTTTCAAATGCATCAAACAATAACAGAATATGTTTTAAGACTAAAGTAAAAATAGACGAAATCTACACATCAAAAAATCGACCTTGCAACCATCTGTTTCGTTTTTTTTTTTAAAAATTTAATCCAAAATAAAATTTATTTCTGTCTTTTTCTTGCACAGAAATCTTATTCTTATCGATAATAAATTTTCTTTTTTGTCATTAATCATTATAGAATTTAATTTTATGAAGGAAAAACAGAACTAATGTTTCTTTCATGCAGCAAAACAGAGAGAAAAACGAATAAAATAGAAGGATCAGTCGTAATTGAAAGATTATCCCAGCAATGCCTTAATTCGATGAAACTTTAAAATAATAACAAACAATGTTTATTAAAGATTTAAAAGTAACAGCAATGTTTATTTTGACATTAAGAATAAATCTCCCTGACTTTATGGCAAGATTATACAATATCTGGCATCTGGGCTTCTGTTCATTTAGACAGCTAATTCTGTGGCCTAGGATTCCTTCTTCAAAACTCTTCCAGAATTTATCAGCTAGTCTCTAAGTAAAGTATTGGTGATTACCAAATTTTCATTTAAAACTCAAAAATTAAAAAATGGTTGAGCGCTTTACAAAATTTATTTGTATAATAGTTTATGATGAATTCAACTTTTATTCTGATAGAATTATCTTTGAAATAGAATTTCCTCAATTTTCGAATATAGCCGAAGCGAAAATTTCTGCTTTTGCACCGATCGATTTCTGCTTCTCTTATTTGAGCACAAACTAAATTATATAAACAAGCAAAATAAAATAAATTTTTGCAAGGGATCGGCACAATTTGTAAAGCATAAAAATTTTTCATCAGAAAGATATAATAAATTTGGGAAGAAGAATAAAACTTAGAAATATCTTTCAGCTTATCATTAATTTTTACAACTAATACAAATTTATATTTCATAAAATTTCAAAATCTCTGGAAGAAAAACGAAGAAAATCGTTCCCTTTTATTAGTTTCAATTTTTTTAAAATCTTTTTTCTTTTTTTCAAGAAATATGAATTCATTGATTTTAATCGGTAATATCCAATTAATAGAAATTGCAGGTGACAATGCTCATTAAAATATTTTCACTGCTTTATAAATCGGAAATTTCTTAATTTGAAATGTTTTATAGGAAAGAAATTTTAACTTTATATTAATTGCAGACTGACATTATGTTTCTTCTACTTTCTTAAAACTACTAAATGTATTTTTAAACAATTACAACTACTGTTTCGAATAATTTAAATTAAATTTTGTTGAAATGATTTATTTGAACTTTTTAAAATATTATCCAAAATAATAAGTTTTTTACAAAAAAATGAAGAAAATTGACTAACAACTTATTGAATAAGAAATTTTATTCTCTTCAAATAATTAAGGTAAAGGTAATAATGCAGAAATAAATTAACACCAGGCAAAACAGATGATTGATCCACTTATCGATAATTATCTTGAGAAGATCAAAATGGAATAAATAAGAATATCTGATTTCATATAATAAAAAATAATTGTTATTAAGATTAGAAATTAAATAATAAAAAGTAAAAATAAAAAACGATAATTCGTAAGGTCTTCCTTCAATCAGAAATCAACATTTTTGGATAAAAGAAATTTTAGATTGCTAATTCGCATTTAAAAAAAAAAAATTGAACATTGTATTAAATTAAAGCAGCCAGAACAGAATGAAAAAAAAAAATAATAATAATTCTATATATCTCGAAGAAATAAATGAATAAATAGAATTTAATACAATCCATTCAGAAACTAATTGTATTTGATTGAAATTAAAATTATTTCTAGAAAAAGTAAGAAAATTAGAACATATGTATTCATCAATACATATTAAAATTTGAAAAATTTACTTAATTAAGAATATAAGTAAGTTATAAAAAAAGAGGTTTATCCTTATGAATTTTTTCAAAAGCCTAAAATTATATTTATAAAATATAACTGAAAAGAACTCATTGCACATAATTTAATTCTACAATTAATTTTATAGGGATAGTGATATTAAAGAGGAGAAAAATTTGAAATGAATATAAAAATATAATTTTATAATTATTTTATATTATCGATGGTAAGGTAATATTTTTATGATTTTCGAATTTTAAGCATATATTTAGCTGTTAAATGAATAATTATATCAAATCATATCACTTTGTTTAGATTTTTCTTCAAAAAATAACTTTGTTTGATGAAAATATCAATTAAAAATGACTTAAATCTTACAGGTGGAAGCTATTTTTAATTGATATATTTATAAAATACGATTAATTTTCAGAGTAATGGAATCAAAGTGATGTAATAATTTTTTAATGAATTTAGACTTTAAATCTTCATTATCATTTTGGTGTTTTTAAAATTAAAAGTTAAAATTTCTGTAAAGCTAATTGTTTAAATTACAAAATGGAGTTAATTGCAAAATTGAAGGCTTTTAAATTATTTATTAACAGAAATTACCAAATATTGTTAGTGTATTTTTATATTAAATGCGGATGAGTACATCAATGTTAAACTTTCCCAAATTTATTGTTATAATTTAAAAGAGATGAAAAAGAAGTAATCAAAGGCAAAGTCAATTTTGAAAAAATGAGTCATTTTTTTTTTAAAAATAAAAATATATATATATATATAATGATCTAATAATTTGAATGAATTTCAATTTTAAAACTTCACTATGATTTCGAAGTTAAGATTTCAATAAAGTTAATTGTTAAAATCATACAAGTTGCAGAATCACTAAATCGAATTTTTTTATTTGTTTATCACCAGAAAAGTGAATTGAAATTTATAAAATGTTATCAACAAATTTTCATTTTAACAATCGATCAACAAAAAATTGATGCCTGTAAAATTCAAATTATCTTTAATCAAATAAAGTTAATTTTGGGGAAAATAAAATAAAGTAATCCAATAATATCGATGAATTTTAATTTTAATTTTGAAGCCTTATTATCATTCCCACTTCAAAATGTTTATAAGATTTATTGTTTAAATGGCGTTAACAACAAAATTAATATCTTTTGGATTATCTGTCACCAAAAATTCTCACCAAAAAATTAGCATTTTGATTTTAAATTTTTCTAATTATTAAGAACATTTATGTCTAATAAGAAACAAAGTTATTTTTTCGAGAAAAATGAGACCAAAGTTATCTGATAATTTTTAACAGTTTTTTTTAGAATCTTTATTTTATAAAGTTTACTGTTTAAATTACAAATTTTAATTGAGCAAATGACTTTTTAAAAAATTATTTTATTAGCAGACAACTAGAATTTTCATCATACCACCTGGTCAGCAATTTTATGCTAACTTCAGAATTTAGCATTGAAAAGTGATAGTTTAGAATTCTTGATTAAATGAGATAATCTAGAATTGTAGAGAGAGAAAGAGAGAGGAAGAGAGAGAGAGAGAGGGAGAGAGAGAATGACAAATTCTCAATTTAATCAAGAATTTTCTTAAATGTTAAAATTTTGTCATTAGAAAGACAAAGAGGGAGGGAGAGGGAGAGAAAGAGGGAGAGAGAGAATTTCCAAAATTCTAGTTTAAAAAAAAGAATCTCAAAATCGATAGTTTAAGATTTTTCATTAGAAAGAGAGTGCAGAATAGTGCATTCAAAGTGATAGCACAAAATCTTAAATAGTCCAATATTTTGTTTTAAACTTTTTACAGATAGTGCAAAACCTCTATAGTAAAAACAGAAGTTTTGAACTTTTGAGATAATCCGGAATTCCGGATCAAACAGTGCAAAATTCCATAGTACAAAATTTCATATCAAAAAGAAATAATCCAAAGTTTTTGATAAGATAATGTATCAATTAAAAATGATTGAATTCCTGAATTAATTAATTATGAGATTATGCGATTAATTTAATAAAAATGCTTAATAAAGTCACAAAATGATAATTATTCAACATTATTTGATAGTTTTTTTTTTTTACACCAAAAATGGATTTTGCTTGGTGATATAATTTTTTAAAATTGATTTAAATCATTCAGGTGACATCTTGATAAGTGCAGTGACAGATTTAAACATCACTGATATCAAAATGTTAATGAAATTAAAAAATGATACTTCTTCATCCACTTTATTTCACCATTTTCGAATCAGATTTAATGTAATATATCAATCAAAAAAATTTAAATCTCGTAATTAATGTCACTTTTATTATTTGTACAATAAACTTAGTAAAAACATTAACGAAGTTATAAAATGATAATTCTTTAACTTTTATTGTTTCTTGTGTATTATTTCCCTTTTTGTAATTTTTTCTCCTTCACAAATACTTCCTCCATATTTCTGATATTTTCTCAATAAATAAAATTTACTTAAAACTCATTTTGATTACTAATATATTAATCAAAATTCACTTAAATTGTCCAGGTGATGTCTCTTTGATAAGCACAGCAGCAGTTTTAAGTAATGTTAATTTGAAATGTTAATGAAATTATAAAATAATAATTCATTGATAACGTTTAATCATTTTCAATTCATTTTTACTCGAATTTACAGCCTTTTTTTGTAATACATTGAGTAGAAGTGAGTGAAATAATAAATCATTTACTGTTTCTCTTATAAATTTAAATGATCTTTACTTGATTTATCACAATAACTTTTTGAAATGATTGAGAGAGTGACAAATTGTTGATTCGTTAATATTTGATTTTCATATTATAAACCATCAAATATGGTCTTTTTTCCGTCTAAAATTCAGCATTTATAATAATAAATAGATTTGCTCGAAAATCACTAAATTATTTAAATACTTTGAGCTCATTCTAGCACCAAAGATCAAACATAATCTTTTTTCGTGTCTTTGACATTAATTTATAAATATAGCAGTAGATATATTCCAGTGTTAAATGCTAAATAAATGATAAATCATTGATATCATTTGATCACTTTATAATTTCAAGATGATTCTTACTGTTTAAATCCATCAGAAGTGATCTTTTCTTACGTAAATAACATTATTTGTGATTTTTTTTCTTATAGATGAAAGGAAGGTACTATTTTAAAAGTGATGAAGGTTAATTTTCTTATGCTAAATTTATCATAAATATCACTACAGGAAGTTTTTTTGCTTAAGAATTAAATAAAGTGCAAGCATGAAATAAGTAATAACAAAAATGAAATAGCAACATGTGACAATTGCTAAAGATAGTCGTTTCCGTAGTCCCAGTGCTGCTAGTTTGTTGTTTTGTTGCTTTATCATTTGAGTTGGTTTAGCAGATGTGTCACGAGAAAGTGTCAATTGTCGCATTAGTGATGATTTGACGATATCCACGTCTGCTAGACAAAATCTCAATTTAATTTATGCATAAACAGTATTTCATATATATAATTTACTATACTTTAAATTGTTGCTAAAAAAAAAAAGAAATGAAATAAATTTAATATTATACTCACCGAAATCAATGAATTGTCTATTCGAAATAATACCAATGAATTGGCCATTGCTAGTATCGAAATATTGAGTAGAATACATTGGTGCTGTTAGATCTACTAGTAGAATGCAGACGAGATGTAAAAATGTGACACATAACCATAAATCTTCCAAGGTCAAAGTGCTTTCTGTTTTGTGATTTGATTGCTAAATGGAAATGAATTTGTAATTATTTGAGAATAAATTAAACGAAAGTGTTTACCATTCCACTAAAGTAAGTATTAAGTGGCAAAAAATCTGAAATTAAAGTCCATCGAAAAAAGTTTTTTACAGCGATTGTTTAGCACAGTATTGAACATTTCATCAAAATTTCAATTTAACAAAAATATTATGTCAATAATTTTAGCATCATTCTCGATAGTTCAATTAAATTACCATGAAAATAATGCACATTAGAGCAGATATTGTAATTAATGTATGTACTTTACGGCACTCGCATTGCGCAAAAATAACAACACAAAAAATAATTGTAGAAGGTAATATATTAGCAACCATAGATGAGAACCACAGTTCTGGATAGCTTATAATGATTCTTATTTCTTTGAATGTCTCTAAAAATTTTGAAATATTTTAAAAAAAAAAAAAAACTAATAAATTGTGAGAAAGAACTTAAAAAGGATGCATTCTCTCTTCTTTAGTAATTTCGTGATGCTTCAATTTAATGATTTTTTAGATCCAATCATTCATGCACTAATTGAATTTCATTTTTGAATGAATTTTGAAAGTAGTTGTCAATCTGGGAACCAGTGTCAACTTATTTTTGCAAAAAAACGATAAATAGGTTGTATCATTTTTAAATCAGTTGAATAAATCTAATTTTTTATTTTGTCATTTCTTTTGAATGAATGAATTAATAAATATAATTTTTTTAACGAATGGTGTACTTTGTCATTTTGACTTTTAAAAACTTACCAACATTGACCGAAACTTTTGAAATTTGTTCTGTATTACGCAAATCCAAGAAATCACGGAGAAAAATACGCTCATCTGAAGAAGAAAAAAAAGTAAAGTAAACTTGAAGAAAAGAAAAAGATATAGTCAAATTGTCACTTAGCTTTATTTCAATCCTTCATTTATAAATAAATTTTAAGAATTAATTGAGAACCTCCAATATTTGATATGACAAACTCGCATTGAAATAATTCGAAAGGATGTCGCCAAATTTCAGATAAACAAAGAAGTTCCACAGAGTATCTGAAATATTGTCGCACTCAGTGATATAAATATCAATGAAAAATAAAGTATGAAAAAAAAAAATTAAACTTTGAGAGTGTTAATTTGATTAATTATTAACTAAAACTCATTTCAATAATTTGATTTTTTTTGACTCATTTTTAAAACAGTACAAAAATAGTATGATTTTTTATTTGGAAGTTTTTAAAGCACTTATCAAATACTCCATCTCAACATTATTATTACTTCAGTACAATTTATACACATTTTTTTTTTCGATTCACATTTCAATTACAATAAATTATGAACCGGTAAAGTGCATCAACGATGCCAATCGATGGATCCAAATAAATAACAGTACTGATCGGAACATTAGGATGTGTTATAATTTCCGGAAGCCATGGATAATATTCCGGTGGCATTCGGAATCGATTTTTTAGTTCACGGATGACAAGTCTTTCATCGGTAAATGTAAAACCGAATATTATTTCCATGTGAACTTTGTTCTGTACAAACAAAATCTAATTTAAAAAACGAAAATATATCAGAATAACTATCTCATTTTCTCTTATTTATTTCACTATCGCTGTTTCCTTGTAATATTTCTCATTGCAATTTTAAAGTAACGAACCATCCAGGTTAGTCTGATAGAAAAGTTATGTAATACTTTTACTGAATTTTATTTAGTAAAAAACCTACACAATATCTTTTCACATTACTTTTGATTTTAAATAGTTTTGAAAAAATACATGATAAGGTTTAGTTGAAATGATTTTAAGATCACAATTAAGAGCAAAAAATGTCCCATTTATATTGGTGACACGATTGTTTTGTTCCTGTGGTCTAACTGATGCATAATAATACTTGAACTTTCGAGTCAATTCGCCATGTTCTTCTGCAGTCAATCTGTTAATTTTCAAAATAGAAAATAACTTTTATAATAAGAAATTTCTTAGACGAATTACAACTTTAAAAAAAAATCATTGAAATATTTATTTTAATTGTCAATTTCGATTTGACTTTTAACATGAAGCATCACTGATGCGTAATTTTAAAAATTTTTTCAACCATATAGCATTTTAAACTAAAAGAAACTTTAATAATACTCAAAAAATTTTTATTTGCTGCAATTACAAAGACGTCTACTACACTTTCTCATTGTTCACAGCTTAGTATGAAATTGATCAAAGTAAGGTAATTAAAGCCTTATTAAAAAAAAAAAAAAATTATCTTTAAATTTAATGAATGTAAGGAAATGATTTCAATCTTACCCGTAAGCAACGTGTAGAAAAATAAACGCTAAAAGATAGTTACAATCCATTGCACTGTCAAAATTCTCTATGAATCATTTTTGCTATTACCTAAAAAAAAGATCAAAAAAAAATTGATTACCAATTGAAAGTGTCAGAAATTAAAGCGAATTAAACTATTAGTCTATACAATCTATAGAATCAAGTTTCCCTGTCGCGACATTTCCATTAGATGCAAACTTTTCAAAAATGTCATCTCTCTTTGATTTTTTTCTTTCTCTCCTCTTTCTCTCCCTCTTCTTTCTCCCTTTCTCTCCAACAATTGAGACATTATTGTTCTGTAATTCCTTCTATTCCCGCAATGACATTTATACTTTGCTAGCGTAAATAAATGAATAAAGTTTGAAAAGTCGAGAAAAGCATAGAAATGAAATTTGAGAAACAAATAGGACTGACTGTCTTGCAGTTAACTAATCCGAGAAGTTCATTTAATTCAAAATGCTAAGACTATTTGAAACTTCAAATTTCTCTTTAATTATCATTTTGTTAGCTTCAATAACTTCTTCAAATGATCAGACTATTAAATCCCATAAAATTTTGTTTTCGATTTTTGCTTTCCCAATTTTTTCCTTCGATTTTAAATCATAGCACATTTCAGCTTCAATTTGATCATCTTTTCCGAGTGTCCATTAATCTCTGATTTAATTATTTAATAACAGTGATGCAGAGAAAGCTCTATGAATAAGTAAAAGAACTAATTTAAACAACTTTTAGATCCATTTCAATAACTTTTAACTTTCAAGTAGACTTCGCCACCTGTTTTGATTCAATTGCAATTTAGCATTCAAAAACATAAAATTCAATTACAGATGATTTTGAAATTGGCTCTTCATGATAAAAAAATAATGAATTTCTACTGAAAGTAAAATGTCTAACTTAAAATTAGGAAATGTTCACTGATATTTATAAACATATTTACAAAATTGATACAAAATTTATACAACATAATGCACTTATTAAAGGGTCTCGGAGGATTTTTAATATCTCGAAATTCTAAAATATTACATGAAAGTAGAGAATACTGGTTTATGAGTTCTTCACAAAATAATGTTTATACCTTAATTGTTTACATGGCATCAGCTTCTCATTTAGTTGACCTCATTATGGTATTGCTACTAATTGTAAATTGTCCTTGAATCTACAAGGTTAACAACTTTTACTTAACTGACCTCCTTTACGACCTATCAACGGGTAATTAGATTTGCTTGTAAACCAGGTCAATAGCTTTTTATTAGACTGATTACTCTTTCACTACAGGTCAACTATAAGCAGGTCACTCAAGTTCACCAGGGAGTGTGTGTGTCTATCTACCAAGAGCCAAGAAAGTTCAACCAAGAGGTCATTTCAACCAGAGGTCAATTTCTATCAAATTTATTGTACTATTGGTTCTATTGAGAAAGAATTTATTATATTTCTATATTACTGCACATATTAATATCTATATTCAACGAATCTCTCTAAGTTCAGTAAATCTCTCCCAAAATAAAAATTTTTAAATCTTCAACGGCAAAGGATAGCATAATATTTAGAGGACTTCAAATTGATAACCTTATTGTTATTTCTATTTTAATATTTTTAACATCTATTTGAAATAAAACTTCTAATGAAATTTTTTAGTATTGAAATGATTAAAAAAATAAATTTTTAATGTAAATATTTTGATTAAAAGTACTAAATCATCATTTAACCCTGAAAGTAATAACTCATTAGTCATCTCTTCCACCTTGTCTGTAATATTTTAGAATATTGTAAACTTCTTCAAATTTAATTCGTAACTTTTCCAAAACTCCCAGTCTGATTATGGAACTTTTCACTTTATAAAAAATAGTGCTCATCAATCAAATCCTTACTAAATGACCATTTCAACCAGATTCTATTCAAATATTTCTATGAACTACAAGGAAAAGAAAAGTTTGACGATCAACCCCATCCTCTATACTTCTCGATCAATATTTTATAACTTCTTTAAAAAAAAAAGATTCAATCAATAAAGCCTTCATCACAACTATTTATTTATTTGTCAATAAAAAAAACTTACTTTTTCACATGTAATAACTTTATCAACTTACCTATTTCAGTCGTTAATCACCTGATATCTTCCATAAATATTTCTTAATTTGTACTGAATGTCTTAGCTTATGTTGTGAGTTTCCTTTTTTGAGAATACTTTGGTTAGCACTAATATTTGATTTTTTGATTCAATCGAATATTTAATCCTAGCAGAAATCACTAGGATGTGAATATAATAACATCGAAATACTGAAATACAATTTATTGACGAATACATCAAAACAAAAGTAATAATTCAAGTCAAAAATATAATAAAATGATATTTATACAAAACATAAGTGTGTGTGTATACAAATATAATGTAAAAGTATGTTTGTAACAAACATAAATTTTTAGTGGATGCAAGGATTGGTATACGAACAAAAAAAGATGGCACAAAAGATTTAGCAATAAGATATCAAATCAAAATTATTTGCATGTTAAACAAAGAAAAGTGATAAGTCAGTTAAATTTAATATTTATTTTAATTGTAATTTATGTGATGAGTCATTCGAATGAGAGATATTTGTGATATAAATTATTTTATTATTTAGACATATTTATTATAAATTATTTCACAAAGTTTGCAACAAGTCATATAATTTCAGAAGAATTAAAGTTAAATGCTTTTCCCACCTGAAACTAACTATCAATGGAATGTAAAAAACAAGCTACAATTATGAAGTGTATTCAAAACAAAGAAAGTTAAATTCAATCATTTAACAAATTTAGTTGAGAGAAATTTAAATCGGCTAAAATAGGGAAAAGTTGTCGTTAACTTTCTTCTGCAAAATGTCCAATAGATCAAATTGTCACTTGCCCGAGCATTGGAAGTTTTTCGAGAAGTTTGAAACGCTACTTTCTAAGTTTCTTTGCTATCAAATATTACTGGATCTGAAAAGATTTCAGCAAATTAAAACTTTTGAGAGATGAATACTTTTATGATTTAATGATTCAAGATTTTTTTTTTACTTGCTTTATACTTTAAATTGACAGTTTTTTGTAAACAACAAAGCACTTGAAATGTATTGAAATTTCTGTTTAAAATCCTAAGTAATGTCACCAAAAAGTAATATCAACAGTTCTAGTAACCACTAGTTATCGTTAAACTTTACTGAATTATATGAATTTTCATCGCTTTAATTTTGCCCACTCCTTGAAGTATGTCAAAGCAAAATATATTGAAATGAGATGGAGCATTTCAAATTGCATTTATTTTCTATAGAGTAATTATAGATAATGGAAGCTACTTTCATTGATGTTCCTAAATATGTATGACAATTTTGTGAGATACAAATTTAAAGAATAAATAAATAAATTAAATCTGTTTGAAATTTACTGAAAAGTTCACAAACCTTGAAAAATTAGCAACAGCAATAATTGCAAATAATGTTTCAATGATTACTAAAAAGGCTTCTACACAAACAACAATAAATTCGATGAATAAAACATAACTTTGAAATAGCGCCCAGTAAATACAAAGCATTAAAGTAAGTGCATTGAGAAGAAGAGCAAATGATAAATAGCCGCTCGTTTCAGTAAGATTCCCTTTGCGAGCTAAAAGTAAATTTAAGTAAATTAAATGGAATAAAATAAACATTTCCAATTCAAATGATAATTAATGATTATTTTGTTTTTCAAATTGTTATGTAATATGTTAAGTATTAAAGTATTTCATAGTTTATCACTCAGTTCAATTAAAATTTAAACTGAAAAAAAGTTCATAAAGGATAATCGATGTTTACGTGGAAGAAAAGATGTATAATTGGTAGTATGAAACGATTTAGCTGAACTCGATTTGTCCCTCAAAAATATAGAAATATTTGAGCATTAAATTTGAGCAGTTAATTCTTCAATTTAAAACTCTTTTATAATTTTTGTAAACAGAAGAAGAAAAATGTTACCCCAATATAAACGCATCATTTCATTTGGAATAAAAAGAATGATCAGCAAAAATTCGCAAATTTTGACATTTGTCGCATATGGTAGTACCGATACTAAAATTCAGTATTGTTTTTAGTTTTAATTCAAAAGTAAATAATGAATTAAAAATAGAATTGAGAGACAGTAAATTTCATACTTTATCAGAAATTTGATAATAATTGAAAAATTTAAAGTTGACTAAAAGTATTACA